GCAGAAGGAGTATTCTCTTTTTCCTTTGTCCACTTTTACTCTTAGATAGGTCTTGTGCACTTAGGCCTTATTATCTTTTTGGGGACAGAGTTTTGTGCCTCTTCTAGAGTTGGGGAGACCCTACTGGGAATTGCTATGCATGCTGGGCTCAAGATTGTTGTCTGCCTCACTCGCTCTGGGGAGGAGAAGGTAGGTGGTGGTGGAGTTTTCACGCTTCCCCCCAGGTCTTCAGCAGTACCCTGGGAAGTCCGGCACTGTCTCCATCAGGGGCTGAAAGAATTTATTCCTTAAGGGTTAAGTGTTTTGACATGGCTTCATGATTTTTCTTCACAATTGCTGCTTTCTTTCTTCTTCAGCTCCACATCTCCAAGTGAAGTTTCTTCTGACCCACTTTCTGGTGGCCCTGGACTACCGTATAGCATTGGACTGCTAGTCTCAAGGTTGGCAATTCAAACCCACCAGACCAGTCTGTTCCTGTCCAGTTGTACAAAGCCTTAGAAACTCTGGGTTGGGTTGCTGTCAAAATCAGCTAGATGACAATGGGTTTTGGGTGAGTCTAGTGTACCTACCAGAGGTGCCTGGAGAAGAAACCATGAGCGTGTGCACAACACTTATCTTCTTTATTTCTGAGGCTACTGGCAGCTTACATTTAGTCTCAAGCAAGCCATTCAAAGTTCAAGCTGGATAATTCTTACCTACTTGTTGAATTCCTGGTCTATCTCCTTTCATATTTTGCCACCTTGTTGCCTAGCAACCTTATGTAAAACACAATGGAACACTTCCTATTGCTGTGTCATCTTCACAAGTCTTGTTCTCTGGGAGCCCAGTGGTTCACCTACTGTGTTAATCCATCTCCTCAAGGGTGGGCTTCCCTTTCTCCACTCTTCTATTCTACCGACATGAGGTCCTTCTCCAGGGACTGGTCTTTCTTGATAACACACCCAAAGTACATGAAAGGAAGTCTTGCCACCCTTCCTTCTAAGTAGCAATTTGTCTGTACTTCATCAAAGACAGATTAATTGGTTCTGGTAGTCCACGATAGTTTCTATATTCTTAGCTAGAGCCATGCTGCAAATTATTTTCACCATAGATAAACTAATGATCATGTCACATCTTTCCTTCTAAGAGTATATCTGTCCTTAGATACCAGGCTGTTAGATATCTTTCAAAATTACTCAAGGAAAGTTGTTTGTCTGCCTGCTTTTGTCCTTGTTGTTAAGAATAATTATCTTTCTAGCTTTCCACAATCACAGTAAAAATGGAGACAGTATATTTTATTGATTATTAATTTGGATTTGTGATAGGCTTCATGAAATGAACAGAATAAGTTTAGAAAGCATATTTTCTAGGTGAGAGTGCTTTTCATAAAATTGGAAGAGAAATTAACATGCATAAAGCAATAGTTAATGTATGGTGGCCTATAGCTAAGTGCTACACTGTGGAATTGCACATTGCAATGGCAGTCCAAAAGAGAGAATTGTTAATTAAGATTAATGTGAACAGAAAAGGATTCATTAATATTGAGATAAAGAATGAGTAGGAGTTAGAGGAAAGAATGGAGCCATTTCAGAGAAAGAAACCATTGAAGTTATAAAAAAAAAATTTTGCTTAATGAAAGCTATCCTAACCTTGAAGAAACTATAATTTAAAAAGTCTCCATTTAAATACATTTCCATTAATCATATACTTGTGCCTTGAGTTTCTCTGCTCTGGAAAACTCCACATTGCTTTCTAGCAGGGTTTGGATGGCTTATCTCAATAGGATGAAGCACTGCCTTTAACTCCCCACTACACACAGGTGTTTTCTTTGTCCTTCCCCACCTACACACCATGAATCCTCCTATTTGGCACTCTGGCAGGGAGCATGGTTGCTGAGGGTGGTTTTATCACTAGTTTATCACCGCCAGCAACACTCCCATTCTCTTTTTGTCTTGCTATTGTGATTTTGGTGAGCGTTTACCAAGCAAAATGTTTTCCATTCAATCCTTTATCCAGCCTCCCCTCTCATGACATTGATTGCATAACAACATGCTTCTCATTTCCTGTGTTTACCAGGTTCAGTCATCCTTCTTTCCAATCTCCTTTTGCTGTCTGAACTTTATCCCTGAGCAAAGGCTGCCGAAGGAATCCCTGTGTGATCAGTCCTCTTGTAGGCCTGGTTATTGTTTGGCTTTAGAAATGGCCAGGGAGCCATGTCTGACCTTCTCTGGCTACAAAAAGGGGAAGGAAGATTGGACCCCACGCCAACCTGAGGACAGTTCCTAAGTGAGAAAGAACTCAGATGCGCCTCCGCCCTGTAGCCTTCTTTGCCTGTTTTGATACTAACTGTCCCTCCTATAGCACTCTACTTCCATGTGTTTGATAATCTGTGGCACTGGCCCCACAGAACTCATGGATGATGCTCATGATTATGGATTTTATTAGGTAGGGGAGTGAGCAGGTTACAAGTCAGGAAAAGCATTAGAAACATTAAAGATACAGTTATTTTGTGTTCACAGTACCTCTTCTCAGGCATGTAGCAGGCACATCTTCCTCTGATCCTCAGTTTCTCAACTACAAACCCCCTTGTTTTCTGTCCTGCTCAGGTAAGTGTTACAAAGGCGCCTTTAGTGCTCGCATTCCTCTCTGAAAGCCAGCCTCCTGCCAAAGGGGCTCCACATTACCTGTTCTGTGGGCCAGGAAACCTGCTACTATATGGGTTGCTGTATGTGCCACTGACTCTCTGGGCAGAGAACCCAGGTATGATCTTCTCTCGGCTCTCAGCTCTTTGAATTCTCTCTTCCTGCTTCTGAAATGGCTCATGTTATACCCAGCACGATTTCAATACAGACCAATCACCGAGTTAGAGTCTTTTACACATTATTTTCAATCTCCTACTAGTCATTTGGTGGGAGTTACAAAGACTGTATAGAAGAGACATACCAAGTAATTATATTTCACAGCAAGGATCCATGGAATGGGGTTAATTCCAGGATTACAGGGTATCTAGAAGTATAAATCTCTTGGGTTCTACTAATCACGTTCTTCTCCTCCTCCTCCTCCTTCTTCTTCTCGTCTAAAAGAGAGAGAGAGAGAGAAGAAACAAGAGGGGGAAATATTGAGAAGAGTGAAGAACTAAAAAGAAAAAATAAGAAAAAGAATTTTAATGGTGACAAAACACTGATAGAAAAATTAGTTGCCAAATACATGTGTAGTGGGATTGCCATACTCGTTCCATGGGAGTACCTATCACCAACCATAGAGGAGTGGGGTTAGGTACTACTGAAGGAAAAGGTAGTCAGGGGGTTGAACGATGATTTTATAAGAAAGGAAAGCAGAGAGCAGAGGCAGATAATACTAGTGAGCCAAGGGGAACAAGAGAAGCACAGCACGGACATTTGGGGGAGTTGCTGGCCACAAGCTGGGCAGTGGTGTGGGTGCTTGTGGTTCAGGTCACTGAGAAGCTGTGTGGGATGAGAGTGGTGTCTCTCTGGCAATAAATCTCCAAACGTCAAGGCTGGTAAAGCCCAGAACAAGTGGAGCAGGTTATCTGATCTTTGCCCTCATCAAAATGACGCTTGCAATAATTTTAAATGATCATGCCCTACTAAGCCAGTTGGCAATTTATCACTCAATATTTCTCATGGCCATCAAGTCATTTCCAATTCCTACTGACCCGATAGGACGGGGTAGAACTGTCGCTATGGGTTTCTAAGACTAACTCTTTCTGGGAGTAGAAAGCCCCGTCTTTCTCTGGTGGAGTTGTTTGTGCTTTCAAACTGCTGACTTTGCAGTTAGCAGCCCAGCACATAACCACGGCACTCCAGGACTCCTCACTACTCCATACACCTCCTTGTTAATTGTTTTAATGCATTATTTCCTCTAATTGGTATTTTACCAACTTTATTTTGCCTTTTTTCTAAAATTCTGGGTCCTAGGATTATCTGTATCCATTTCATTTGGTGTCTTCAGTCTTTGATGTTAGGGAGTCTGGGTACTAGCAGCAAGTCACAGAGGGACCCAAACCCTCAACCACAACAATTTGAGAATGAGATCTCTAGCAGTGCATGATACTGTTCTTGCATAATCTGGAGCTGACAGCCATTTAGTTGCCATCAAAGCACCTCTAATCTGAAAAGTCTGGTGATGGCATGGTCTGTTGACCAAGCTTCATGTTTTAGGGCAAGTCTAAAATGGGATGATTACTACGTCCACACCTCACTTATTGCTATGACTGGGTTTGAAAGATCAGGTTGTTATGTGAAATGTAGTACTATGTGAAAATTGAGGACTACTACATCAGATAAAAAATGGAAGATGACAACATTATTACATAATTTCCAAATTACATACATAATTATATCACTCTCAAAACACTCAGATTCATGGCTCAGCCAATTTGACCCATAACATTAACCACTACAGCCAATGATACTTTTGCTTCAACATTCCTTACAGACAGACAAAACTTACATCATGAATGCACAAAATAGTTGCATGGATGTTTTACTACTATAAATGCAAAATGTTGATTAGCAAGATAGTCTAAGAGTGAGGAATAAATGTATTCTTGACAGTAATAGAATGCAGAAACATAGCAAATGTGTTAACATTTTAGAATAACAATTAATTTTAGACCTTTATCAGCCAAACACATAAAAATGTACAATTAATTAAGAGGTATTAAAATCCAAACCAAGGAGACAGATGAGTTAAAAATAAGTTGTCTTCCTTATCATTGCTGAAGTATGAGCTTAATAAGGAAGAATTCATAATAAATGCCCTTATTATAGAGATGCACTCATTAGAGAGAAAGCAGGTTACATACATGCTGCGATGAGTATTCAGGACCAGTGATGGACGGGGATGCTTATGTGTGAGAGGAAGAACGAGAGAGACACAAACAGTAGGTGGTAGTTTGAGTTGGAAGATTAATGTTAATCAGTCTAATTTAATGGTCGAAAACAGTTAGAACCTGAGTTTTCAAAGCAGATAATCTCTTTGCCCACTCTCATCCTTAGGACCACAGTGACAACCTTCTTCGCGTTGCAGGGACAATGGCCCATGAAATGGGCCATAACTTTGGAATGTTTCATGACTCCTATGTTTGCAAGTGCCCTTCTACAATATGTGTGATGGACAAAGCATTAAGGTGAGACTTTCTGTAAACATGCTGTTTATTCTGGTTTTAATTCTGTCTGAGTTATATTACTTCTTATATCATCTTTTACAACAGGTTGGCATTTTAAAAACACTGACTACCTGTGTTAAGCTGGGTTGACTAGAGAAACAAAATCAGTGACACTCCTGTGTGTAAAAAAGAGCTTTATCTCAAGAAGTAATTATATATCAAGAAAACACCCCAGTCCAGTTCAGCTCAAGTCCATAAGTCAGATACGAGGCCATAAGGCCCTCTTCAGACTCGAGCAGTCACATGCAATAATGTAGAATGCAGGAAGATCACAAGCCAATGTGTGAAAAATCGTGTGGATCTGAAATTAGTGGAAACATGGCAGGGCTCAGGCAGCTCCTGGGGTCAGCAAGCAGGAAGGTCAAGGCAGAGAGGAGGATGTTCCTCAGGCCCTCCTTATGAGAAGGCCACACCCACAAGGAGGCATCATCAGGCTGTGACCTAATTGACAGCTTGGATGCTACTCCTACACTTTTATATATGTTCTAGTTGACATAAAATTATGTAACTACCGCAGTACACAAGACCTGGTTTCAGAAGATCATTGGTATTTATCAAGTTTTCAATGAACTCATAGTGTAATGTGGAATAGAAAGGGTTCTACAATTAAGGGTATATCTCAGAGGTGTTAAGTCATTGGAGGTCACCCTCCTGAACTTGTGTTATATGGTTTTCTGTTTTTCAGTATATGAAACTAAGGATTGAAACATCTATAGAGACAACAAGTAGAATAAGGATTTAATGGAATGGGGTGGGGGGGGCTAAAAGGGAGACAATGTCAAGGAGGTTAGGAGGGAAAAGAATGCTTGGAAACTGATTGTGGTAGCAATTACACAGTTCTGCTAGATGTGATTGAAACGATATATGTATTAAACCTCAATTAATATTATATAAATATCATTGAAAGAGAATCCTCTTATAAAAGAACGAAAAGTCTATAAATAAAAGCTTACGTTTTGCCATATCTTATGCCAAATTGCTAAGGAATTTTATCTTTAAGAATCTCACACACCTTCTTTTATTTATGAATTTCTCTTTCCTACCCAGCTTCTCCAGCTTCCCTCAAATCAGGGTTGCTATTTCATTCCCCTTCATAAAATGGGACATGTCTCTATGCCGATTATCACTTACATAGTTTTCCCAGATAGTACAACATTGTAAAATCTCATCTCCATTTGTGCAATAAAGAGATTCTGTCAATAGAATTGTTCTGAAGAAAAGTTAGTTTTTAGACAAGAAAATAAATATAATTTTACTATTTTTAGAATTTCATAACTCAAATAAACTGAATAAGATAATGCGATCATTGAGTCAGGCAGATTAAAAGCACAAACAACAATAAACCCAGCTTCCTATGTGCTACACTGTGAACCATGTTTTTCACTAAATTGGCAATGTATGTGTCTAGCCGGAGTAGCAACTGGTCAATGGATTGGGTTTGATCCTTTTGGCCAATCGTAGGTAAAATTACATGCAATGTGATGCTATTGCTTCATACTTTGTAAGAATCACTGTATCCCTCTCTCTTTTTAAATCTTCACAGCTTCTATATACCCACAGACTTCAGTTCCTGTAGCCGAGTCAGCTACGACAAATTCTTTGAAGCTAAATTATCAAATTGCCTCTCTAATGTGCCATTGCCTACAGATATCATCTCGACTCCAATTTGTGGGAACCAGATGGTAGAAATAGGAGAGGACTGTGATTGTGGAAGTCCTGAGGTACTACCAAGGATTTTACAAAATAGTTGTTTCAAGATAATGAGGATATTGCTAAGAAAATAAACTATAAAACAGTATCAATCACAGTAGAAAATTGAATGCTTCTTGTAATTTTGAAATGTTTGTTTGTAAAGTTTGTGCAATTAACCCATCTGAAAACAAATCACATATTACTTAGTAATCAGCCAGCCAACCAACCAGACATTCAAGGTAATTCCAACTCATGCTTACCCCACATGTTCAGTAGAATCATGCTGTACATTTCTTAACGAAAAACTACACCCATTGCCATCAAAGTAACTCTGACTCATAGAGTTTCCATAGAACAGAGTTTCACTGCTCCATAGGTTTTGCGAGACTAAAGTTTTATTGAAGGAGACTGTTCTGTATTTCTACCCCCAAAATGGCTGGTTGGTTCGTAGGCAATGCTTTAGTTATCAGCTTAAACATAGCTTAATGCTGTTGTTATTGTTGTAGTTGTTAGGTGTCATGGAGTTGGTTTCTGCTCATAGTGACCCTGTCTACAGCAGAACAAAGCAGCCCAGTCCTGCACTGCCCTCACAATTGTTATTCTGTTTGAGCCCATTGTTACAACCACAGAATCAGTCTATCTCATTGAAGGCCTTTCTCATTTTCGCTGCCGCTCCACTCTACCAAGAATGATGTTCATCAGCAGAGAGTGGTCTTTCCTTACAACATGTCCAGTGTGTGCAACTGTCTCAGCATCCTTGTCTCTAAGGAGCTTTCTGGCTGCACCTCTTCTAATAGGGACCTGTCTGTTCTTTTGGGAGCTCGTGTTACCTTCAATATTCTTTGCCGACAGCATAATTCAAATGCATTGATTTTGTTCCTTTTGGTCTTCCTTTTTCAAAATCCAACTTTAGCATACATATAAGGTCATTGAAAATAGCATGGCACATTTTAGTCCTTAAAATAACATCCATGTTTCCAAAACTTTGCAAAGATCTTGTTCAGCAGATTTACCTAATAGAATGTATCCTTTGACCTTTTGACTGCTACTTCCATGAGTATTGATTGTGGATCCAACTAAGATTAAATCTTTGACAACATCAATCTTTTGTCCATTTATCGTTATGTTTCTTATTAGTCCCATTGTGAGGATTTTTTGTTTTCTTAACATTGAGTTGTAATCCATACAACTTTCAGCAAGCAAGGTTTTGTCATCTGCATATTTCAGGCTGTTAATAAGCCTTTTGATGTTGATGTCACTTTCTCCTTCATGTCATCTTGCTGCTCTGGTGATTTTCTCAGCATACAGATTGAACACATATGGTGAGAGGATATGGCCCTGACACACATCGTTCCTAATTTTAAACCATGAAGCATTCCCTTGTTGTGTTTGCGTCAATGTCTCTTGATCCATGTACAGGTTCCACATGAGCACAATGAAGTGTTCTGGAATTCTCATCTTCTCAAGGCTCTCCATAGCTTGTTATTGTGCACACAGTGGAATTCATTTGCATAATCAATGAAACACAAGTTAACATCTTTCTGGTTCACTCTGCTTTCAGCCAAGATTCACCTGATGTCAGCAATCATGTCCCTTGTTCTATGCTGTCTTTTGAATCCAGCCTGAATCTCTGGCAGCTCCCTGTCAATGTACTGCTGCAACTGTTGTTGGATAATCTTCAGCAAAATTTTACTTGAATGTTCTATTAATGATATTGTTTTATTCCCATTCTTTTCACCATTTTTGGAATGGGTAAAAATATGGATCTTTTCCAGTCAGTTGACAAAGTAGCTGTCTCCCAAATATCTTGCCCTAGATTTGGCATTGTTCATCAGCTTGTTGAATTTCAGTTGATATTCCAAATGCTTCCAGGGTAGCTTGGACTTCTTCCTTCAGTTCTGCTGGTTCTTGCTCACATGCTACCTCCTGAAATGATGGCCTGTTAACTTCTTGTTGCAGTGCCTCTGTATTCCTTCTATCTTCTGTTGAAGCTTCTTACTTCATTCAATATTTTGCCCAGAGAATCTTTCAATATTACAATTCAGGGCTTGGATTTGTTCTTGAGTTCATTCAGTTTAAGATATGCTGAGCGTATTATTCCATTTTGCTTTTTTAACTCTGGGTTTCTGCACATTTCATTACAATATTTTACTTTGTCTGCTAAGTTTCCCTTTGAAATTTTCTATTCACCTCTTAAACCACCCATTGTGGTTATAGTGAAGAAAATCACTTTCAGATGCTAAAAACTGAGATCTGTATGAAGCATAAATTATACTATGAATTATGATGTCCAGAAAGTAATTTGGCATTTGTACTT